TATATATATATATATATATATATATATATATATATATATATATACCTGTGCGCGCGCACCTAGCTGTACTGCTCCCAAGTTTGTGCCCATGCGTTTGCGTCAACTTTGGAGGATAGATACAGCATGTGCGAGAGAAGAGAAGTTGTTTTTGTTTCCGAATTGAAGTCGTGCAATCGTTCAATTTTTTTTTACTAATTATGCTTGTAAATGATGTAGAATGGTTTGAAACGAAAAAATACGACGTTTGACCACCCCGTGTGTTTTTTTTTTTTTTTTTCCCGAGGTCTTGAGANGATACAGCATGTGCGAGAGAAGAGAAGTTGTTTTTGTTTCCGAATTGAAGTCGTGCAATCGTTCAATTTTTTTTTACTAATTATGCTTGTAAATGATGTAGAATGGTTTGAAACGAAAAAATACGACGTTTGACCACCCCGTGTGTTTTTTTTTTTTTTTTTCCCGAGGTCTTGAGACAAATGTTCCTGTCCGCACGATAGTGAGGCAACAGCATAACACTTGCGATAACTAGTGTCGTGCTGCTGCCACACCCTGTGTGGGGCCCGCACCCACTAAACCACTTGACCCCGCTCATCCTTGACCGTTCTTTCCCTCGCGGCACCACCGTTAAGTATTACTTCGCAAGGGAGGTCACAGCTATTGGCTCTTCCTCTTTCCGGCCTAATGTACGTCCTCCTAGCCTACTAAGTTCTTGGGTATAGGTAGGAGGTTCCAGTAGGTTCTCCGTCTAAGGTGCGGCTCTGCGCTCGCGTTCCTCTTTTCTGAGCTCTTTCATGACTTCAGCCGCAAAATGGCTCGTCGCGTCCCAGACTGCCTGCGATGATAGTAAAGCATCCATCAGATTTTCAGACAATACTTCCCTTCCAAGTGAAGATGCCCAGGTACGCCTTGTCTCGCTGAAACGAGGGCATACGAAAAACACGTGCTCCTCCGCATCTTCATCCACGTCGGTGCAGGTTGGGCATTTCGAGGAATCTTCATATTTTAATTTATGAAGATACGCTCTAAAGCACCCGTGCCCCGTAAGCATCTGCGTTAGGTAGTTGTTCACCTCTCCGTGGTTTCGATTTAGCCAGACATTCATCTTGGGGATCAGACGATAGGTCCATCTCCCTTTGGTGGAGTTGTCCCACTTCCGCAGGCTGTTCCGCCTCTCTTCCAGCGTCAGCTCCTCGGGACTCAGCGCTTCGGATCTCCTACGTTTGTACAAAACCTTTCGCTCCTCAGCCAGTATTTCTATCGGCAGCATTCCTGTGATGATACACACCGCGTCCTCAGAAACTGTCCGATATGCACTTGCAACTCTAAGGGCACTCAGTCGGTAGACTGNCCTTCCGCTCCTCAGCCATTATTTCTATCGGCAGCATTCCTGTGATGACACACACCGCGTCCTCAGAAACTGTCTGATATGCACTTGCAACTCTAAGGGCACTCAGTCGGTAGACTGGTGCGATCTTACGTCGCGCTTCCTGCAACTGGAATACCTCTCCCCAAATGGGAATACCATATGTGAGCACCGAAGTAATCACTGAAGACAACAGTGCCCGTCTTCTTTGCTTGGGTCCCCCGATGTTAGGCATGAGGCGTGATAAGGTGGATCTAACGCCAAATGCCTTGGCCCCCACATGCTCTGCTTGCTGCTTGAACTTCAGTCGTGCATCGATCATCACCCCCAGGTATCGAATGAATGGCTGAGAGGTGATTTCACAAGACCCGACTTGCAGTGTGATCGTCTCGATCTTCTTCCTACTGGTGATCAATACGGCTTCCGTCGTATGCCCCGCCAGGTCCAGTCCAACAGAGTCCATCCAACAGCGGATCGTTTCAAACGTTGTACTGAAGACACGATTCATTTCCTCCAGGTACTTCCCGACGATGACTACGGCCACGTCATCTGCGAATGCTACGAGCTCGGTCCTCCGCGGCATTTTCAGCTTCAGCAGCCCGTCGTACATGATGTTCCATAGTGAAGGACCCAGCACCGAGCCTTGGGATACCCCTCCCGTGACTTCATACTGCTTGGGACCACACTCCGTGTCGTACTTGAGGATCCTCCCGGTGAAATAGCTGTCAACCATCCTCCGCAAGAATCCTGGCACGTCCAATTTGGCAAAAGCCTCCATGATGCAGTCCCAACGGGCTGAGTTGAAGGCATTCTTGATGTCCAGTGTTACTACTAGGCAGTACTCCTTAGTGCCATTGAGCCATCATTCCCCTGAAATCGCTCTCCTGCCGGTATCAACAACAAGGTTGATGGCATCCAATGTGGATCGACCTTTCCGGAAACCATATTGATTTTCGGCTAGCAATGGCTCAACAGCTGCTTCTATTCTCTGATGGATTAATACGCTCGAGGATCTTACCGGCTGTGTCGATCATGCAGAGAGGACGGTATGATGAAGGTTCGTCCGGCAGCTTGTTCCCTTTTGGGAGCAAAACCAGCCTCTGCTGCTTCCACATGGCAGAAAATATGTCTTCTTTGAAGCACTCGTTATAGACGTCTAGAAACTGCTCTGGCATCGCTTGGATTGTTGATTTCAGCGCAATGTTGGGGATACCGTCCGGGCCAAGGGCCTTGGTGTTACCCACTCGCATGTAGGCCTCCGTCAACTCTTCCCTTGTGATTTTCGCTACGATCTCATCCTCCTGTTGTCGGACGGGACGGTGAAAATCTTCAAACGAATTATATTCACTGTTTCAGACAAGGTTTGGAGATATTTGCATTTGTGTTTTTTGTTTTAAATCATCGTGCGCTCTCCCACTTCCGCAAAAATCGAGATATCAACTCGTCTCATTTTACAGTTGATATGGCGTCCTATAATACGTGTGAAATTCGACATAGAAATCTGAGGTTTTGCCTACTAATTAGTATTATTGAGTGATATTTATATTTACAATTTCATGTACATCCTGGCATACAACAAATTATTTTAAAAAAACATTTTTTTATCCAAAAAATTATCATGAGTTGAGATTCGATAATGATGAACAAGCCATTCATAAGTCCGCGATTAATGTATTGATGGCGAGACAACATTTAAATTTATCAATTCATATTTATGAAAGAAAGTTTTCTTAATCAAAAAAATGTTTGATTAAGGCCCGGGTGTACTCCCTTCCGAACGTTATCTAGATTGTTTTCTGTTTGATTTTTTCATCTACAAAGCCGTGCAATTTTAATTTGATTTTCTATCACTCAGAGATCCCCAAAAATTATGTTTGTATATTTAAAAAAAAATGGAAAAAATTTGGAACGGTTTCAACGAGCTTTTGTGATAAATATTGAGAAATGAGTGAATTGAGGGAGAAATTAGGAATGCGTAATTACTACGGAAAATGGCGGTCAGTCAATCGTCAACATGAGGGAAGGGAGGATGAAACGACAAATCTCCCAATACTACGCACATACTTAATTAATTCCAAAAACGCTGTTTGAAAAAAT